TTCTGAAGCCGAGCAACTCTCTGACCAAACTGGGGCTACAGCAGCAAATGCCTTAACCTTGTCGTAACTGTAGCTGAGCTCATTCTACTGTGATGCAGCTATGGCTTTTGCTTCCTCTTCTAGCTCTTGTAGCTTCTACAACTAGCAACCCCCATGCAAAGTGGTACGCCAAGATGCCCATCTCCGAGAATGCTCTCGCCTCCATCTCCGAAGACAACCCGCAATGCCCCCTGATCGAAGGATGGCGGAGTTAACTTCAGACGTTCGGGGCCCAGAGCATACCTAAGAGTGATGGTTGCATGCTACATTCTCTATTCTCTTATGTTGTCTTCTACATAGAGTATTCTATATTATGGTCCTGATTAACTGTTTATGACATGAAAGCCCGACAGCGATGTCCCTGCTCGGGACTGGCTGGATTGCATAGCACGGAACTTGGATCGCGGCGGGTATGATGCGCTTAAATGGTTCCAAACACCCAAAACCCGGGACGTAGCACAGGCCACCCTCTGCCCTCGCCCCTTTGTTCTCGCCCCTGTCTCCACATCTGAAGAAGCCGAGCCGAAGTGCCTTCGAGATCATCTGCTGCAGCCCAGGTTGAAGCGCAAGCGACCACAGCTTCCTGAACCGCACATGCACATGCAAACATAGCATGCATGCATATCTATCTATCTATCTATCTACCTATCTATCCATCTATCCATCTGTCCATCTATGCATCTATCTATCTATCTATCCATCCATCCATCCATCCATCCATCTATCTATCTATATGTACATGTACTTGCCGAATCAAAAACATACACATTTCGTGTGTATGCGCACAATTTTTACATTTATACATGCAAGTGCCCATGATTGATTTACATGCATTTTACAACATGTGTTGCAGTCTCTTAGTCCGTTCGACTTAAATTAATAAGTGTACAGAAAACATATTATGCATGGATGACTACATTCGCTGTCTGTGCGTGTGCATGCAGGTAGGCATGCATGTACTCATGTTGTCCGAACACATGTATGTGAATGAGCAGCAAGATGAATCGGTCAAAATAAAGTTGGTCTGCCATGGGATGAATTAGAAGACATCCCACGGCCGCAGACACAAACATCTGGCAGCAGCACATGTCGACTCCGCACACTCACCAAACCAAATCAAAGCAAATTGTTGCTCGAAACCGAGCACGGCATCATCGCCACACAACGGGGCCCGACACCATACTCTGCCTGAAATACACGTGAGACGAGTGTCAGTAGTAGCAGTAGCAGTAGNNTAGTAGTAGTAGCAGCAGAAGAAGTATTAGGTAGTAGCAGTCGGCAGCAGTAGCAGTACCAGTAGCAGCAGTATCCGTAGTCTTCGTTGCAGGAGCCGCAGCAGCAGCAACAGCAGTACAAGCAACATCTGGACTTGCCATCGTTGTAGTCGCAGCAGCAGCAGTTGTCGCAGAAGCACTGACATCCGTGCTCGTGGTCTTAGGGCTTGGGATTTGGAGCTTCGGGTATATTGTTCAGGGCTTAAGGTAAAGGATGTATAGGGTTCATAAGCCCTAAATCCTAAACCCGTAATTCTCTAAATTAGGGTTCAACCCTACACCCTAAGCCCTAAGTCCTAAACCCTAAACCATAAATCCTAAACCCTAAACCCTAAACCATAAATCCTAAACCCTAAACCCTAAGTCCCAAACCCTAAACCCTAAACCCTAAGTCCTAAACCCGAAACCCTAAGTCGTAAACCCTAAACCCTAAGTCCTAAACCCCTAGACCCTAAGTCCCTTTTTTGAATCGTTCGAGGTGCTTGGCCGCCCAGGACATCGAGCCCAGAGGCCGGCGCCCGGCCGGCCACTCCGCCATGTCCTCGAAGCACTGGCTCTTTGCAGCAGTTATCGTCGTGTTCGTAGGAATAGTAGTGGTGCTAGTCATAGTAATAGTAATATAGTAGCATAGTAATATAGGAATATAGATGATAGTCATCTAGTAATATACTAATATAGTACTCTGGTAATATGGTGATATGGTAATACAGTAGTATAGTAGTATAGTAAGATAGTAACATAGTAGTAACCTAGTAAAAAGTAGTAGGGGCGGATGAAGCTTCAGGCTCCAGGGCCTTGGGTTTGGACATGCTGGACGTTGGGTTTCTGGATGCTGCCCTAAACCCTGAACCCCTAAATTCTGAACCCTGAACACTTTGGGCTTCTGGATGGTGCCGGGAAAGGGCCACAGCTTATGATTTCAGCCTTTGGGGTTGCCTTCTATCAAGCACAGCAAGTCTAGGTGGACAGACCCTCAACCGAGACTCGGCAATCTGGTTTCGCGTGGATGCTTTCTCCTTCTGCTTTACAAGGTTGGATATCGATCGTCCATGTCTGCAGAACACTCGGCAACCAATGCTGATCGTGCATGTTGTTTTAGCCGTGCCGGAACATGGAAAGGGATACCCGGATGTTCTTAGTAGACTGTGGCATGGATATCTAGAACGGTCATTTCGCGGGAAAGTTGGAGCAATGGTGCATGTTGCTTGTCTCCAGTTTCAAAACCGGCGCGATGGAGTGCCAAAGACGGCAATCGTGCCTGCTTGATTCTAGCATGTCTGCATGCCCCATGCTCATATGCCATAGCAACCACTCAGAAAACTAGTGCAAACGAAACGCATTACAACGAACCAGTGCAAAGCAAAACTCCGTTCCACGACGAAACCCTGAGCTTCACTAGCTGCGGGGGGGCGGGGGGGGGGAGGGGGAACCTTACATCCTGTTCCCACTCGACGAAGCAGAAGCCCCTACAATGGAGACATGCAGATCACAGCATCGATGATAGCAAGTATGACGACGGCCAAGACTACTTGCTTGATGTTGATGTTCTGCTGGAGGTCTGCGATGCGTCAGAACTCTGCTTGCAAGACGTTTAGCCGTTTAGCAACATGCTCCAAGCGCGGCAAAGGATCGACGCCCATTGCCTCACACGCAGCCCGGGCACTGCGCATTCCATCCTGGAGACGAAGCACTCGAGCCAGGTATGCCGTGGCAGCAGTTGCTGGTGACTAGAGTCTGAAAAGCTTGCAGAACCTATCGGAGGACTGCTGAACATGGTATAATTTAGAGTCACTAGTATTGCAAGCATGGCACAGCACCTACCTAACTTTCATTTACTGCATGCCCCAAGTTGGCAAAGATGGTGTGAGGTGCGTTAGATCGTTAGGTCCGGACTAAGATGAACAAAAACAAGCGTTCAACACTTAAGGCTTGTAGACACTTCTGAAAACAGTGCCTGAGAGAACTTAGGGTTCGGATGGATCTCGGAAGCTTCGCGAAGTTCTAGCATCATGCAGAATTCGGCTCGGAGCTACTTCCTTTCGCAACGACAGTTACTGGCCTTGCAGATAGCTTGCGCCGTGATTTAACATCAGAGATAGGCCACCAACAAACCAGCATAGTTTTCCAGACCTTGTTGAAAGGGGACATAGTGTCATACAGCCCCGATGCAAAATCTCAGCTGGCTTTTCGACAAGACCTTACGATGACGATGATCGACCAAAATGAAAGTGTTCGGAGTGTAATCAAGAAACATTCTTTTGCAACACGATCTCATGGGGAAACCACAAAATTACCTGCACCCACTAGCAGACTAGCAGTGTTCAACCATGTCAGCTTGCTGTGGCGATGCAAAGTTGCAATCATCCACGAAGTATATTCTCCCAGCAATGCAAGTTTGAAAGATCCAACAGTGCTCCGCTGTGTACGTACTGCACAGCAAGAGCAGAAAAAAACATCACATGATAGCATGCAGTACTTACATTTCCGGTGTCTCAAGGACTTGCTTTGCAACTGACCACCTTCCATCAACCTCGTCTCCGCGGCATCTGCAACCCCACGAAAGCCGGTCCTCATGAAACCCCCATCCGGCCCATGCGCCGCAGAAATAGATCCGTCCTGCTTGGAGAGCTGGGGTCAGGCGCTTGCTGCTTGAGTAACTCCGGTTGCACGCAGGCCGTTGATATGGGGGCGGGCTTCTGGGAAGTTCAGGGTATCGTACGTAAGAGTTTTTATGGCGAGGATGCTAGTTACTAAGAATCAGTGTACGCCTATGTTAGGTCGACTTACTATCTGAAAATCCGACCAATCCCCATTATTTTTTGTTGCAGGTTCTTCTTTCCAAATTCGCTGAACACACGTCATCGCTGGCTGAAGGGACTGCACAGGGCTGCGTGTAGCAACAAGCTAACCTTGACGTCCTAATCGTGCATATCACCAGCCCTAGCGAATGAGTTTCCCCGAGTCTCGAAGTCAAGCACTGCGCAACGCGGCAGTGTCTGGACACAAGTCATATGCAATAGACTCACTCCGACCATGGCTAGCTTGACAGCGGCGGCAAGGAGATCATGCTGCAGATAGTTGCAGACGCAGATGCAACTCTCAAATGACATACTTTAGACCTGCCACGACCTTTGCATAGAAAGAGCTAGGATGAGAGATCAGGTTCACGGCTCGGCTCGGTCCTCCAAGTCCTTGCAGCTGTGGCAGCGCCTCTGCTCGGGTTTGGGCGACTAGTGACTAGGCTTTACCTCTAGTCTCCTTGGTAATTCCTTTCCAATTCTCTGTTTAGGATACTACACGGTAGCCCCGAAAAGGAACGACAATCCTCCAGGCCGAAATGCTAAACAGTCTGACATATTTCAGCATTCATCCTCTGAAGTTTGTTCAGCAATATCGGCGTAATGTCCAATCTCAACTCTCCGAGACTGTAAGACTTCCGAGCGGCTCTTTGGACTTTCAATGCCTTCTCGTCCAAGAGCGGATGGTCCAAAATGTACCTCTTGTGCTACACAGTGGACGCGTCGATGGATGAGTCTGTGAACAGGATGCAGCAATGAGCTTCCACGCACCATTGCTGACAATGCAGCTGGGTCAACAAGAAATGCAAAGCCCGTATTCAACTTGCAATAGGACGTGTGCCGGGAGGTGTCTGCCGACGCAGCGAGCTTGCTTTTGCTGTCAAGGGGCTTTGCAAGCACTTGGCTCTCATCGATGGATCCATCAGGCGGGTTCAGTGTCACAAAGACCTGAAAGCGGACAGTGACTGGGACGACTGGAAGATCAACCCCCAAACAAGAAACCTCAAGCCCCCAGACACAAAACCAACACAAAAAACATAAACAAGCTTTTAACGTCCAGACTCGTTGTACGCCTTCGAGATCGTGATCCCTACATGCCTTGTGGAACCAATACTCCCTGCAATGCATCTGCATGTAGCCCGGGGGCGTCTTTGCCCTCCGTGCAGGCACCTGGTTGCAGCCTCAGCATGGTAGGAATTGCATCCGTCGGTATGTATGGCTGTACGGCTGTATGATTGTATGCGTGTACGGTGTTACTGTACATATGCATGTATGTGAACGTATGTATGTATGTATGTATGTATATATGTATGTATCTGAACGCATGCATGTATGTACGTATGTATGTGTGTACGTCAGACCGTGCTTATGTGCACAGGTACGCATGTATGTATGTATGTACGTACGTATGTCTGTATGTATATGTAACGTACGTATATGTATGTATGCATGCACGCATGTATGCATGTACGTATGTATGCATGCATGCATGCATCCATGCATGTATGTGTATGTATGCAAGTGCATGTTGATGTGCATGTGTACGTATGTAATTATGTATGTATGCTTGCATGCATGTATGTGTGTATGCGTGTTTGTAAGGGTGTATATGTATGTATAAGTATCTATGTATCGGTGGTGGGATGGATGGATGGAGGGATGGCTGGATGGATGCTGGTTGGTTGGTTGGTTGGCTGGCTGGCAGGTTGGTCGTTTCTTCGTGCGTGTGTTCTTGCCAGCTTGCTTGTTTGTTTGCTTTGTTGTTTGTAGAAACAAATAAATACGTTGAAAGCAACACGAAGCAACATATGACATGATTACATATGATGCAAATGTTCATTCATAAACAAATGAGTATGTACAGAGAGGGAGACACAGGTAGAAATATGCGTATTTGAACATGGCTGTGAGCCTATGTACATACGCACACACCGCCAAGCATACTCGCGTAAATGCCATGGCTCTATCAGCAACTGCTACTCTAGATCTATTTACACCTGTGTGAGTGTGCCCAGCCAGGACCGCGAGGAAGTTGTTCCTGAACGCCGGACTCCGCTGCCGCTCTCACAGGCTCGTCTGACCCTAACCGTATGCCTGTGAACTTTGCGGATAGCCCTTTGCATCTTTGACCATTTTTGCAATGCCTGGAACCGAAGGCAAGCCTCCTGAAACCCTAAACAGGTAAGGGGTCTGCAGGCTAAACCCCGAAACGGGCCGAACAATCCGAAGCCGAAGCCTGGCACCCCAAAACCCCCAAAACCCGAAACCCGAAGCCCTAAATCCAATCCGGAAGCTTGTTGATCCAGTAGGTGACAACGGCCGGGGCTCCAGGAAGATTCAAGCCGTTCCATGCACTCCAGCACGACTTCCTTGAGTTTCAAAGAAGAGCGTCTGGTTTTTTAGGGATTTGGGTGGAGGTTTGGGGTTTGAAGGCTTCCCACGAATTAGGGTTGTTTGGTGCTCCAAGAGTCACTGGAGCGGTCATTGCGGAGGTCCAGGCTGTGGCGTATAAGCATGGTGGCTTGGAGGCCCGGTTTCTGGACATCAGTCGGGCTACAAGCAAGAGACTGAACGTCAGCGAAGCCACTTCTTGGGCATGTACTTGGGGTCCGTATGGATGTACACCTGAAAGTGGCAGGCTGCTGTTGCCAGTGGAGACCTAGAGTCTACACATGCAGCATCGAAGCATAATACCCCTTCGGCTCCGTTTTCCCGGCCAAGCAAGCCCAGACCCCCCCGCGTGGTAAATCCCCCGGGCCTAAAAGGTTTTGCTGGTTTTGTTAGCGGCAAGGGCCTTCCTTCGACCTGGCACCTGCCTAATGGCCTAATGTAGGGGCCTTAATAATAAGAATAGGGTTTTGGGGGCTCCTTATTATAATTCCATTGTAATATACCCCAAACCCTATTCTAATTATTAAGGCACCTGCCTAATTTCCTCACACCTCACTCCGGCCGCCTCATGTCCCATTCCTCGAAACTGCCCGCTGCAAAAAAAAACAAACAAGAAGGCAGATACACGCAGTGGTCCTGAAGCGCCCGCAAACATGCTTGCATAGACACAAAAGTCAGTTTATTTCGGTATGTAGGTATCTAACTATATGCTTAGTCAAGTCTTTCCTACTTCAATCGGTACTCACCTATCTGTCTATCTATAACGTACGTATCTATGTGCATGTGTCTATCTGTCTATCTATCGATCGAGCTACCTACCTACCTATCTATCTCTCGATCTATCTATCTAACTATCTATGTATCTATCCATCTGTCCGTCTTTCCGTCTACTATCGATCGATCTATCTATCTGCCTATCTACCTATCTATCTATCTATCTATCTATTTATCTATCTATCTGGTATGCGATTTGCTTCTGTGCTTGCTTATCTTATCTACCTCCTGTTGACTTACTTGTTTGTTGTTAAAACAATCCTTTATCTGCTATACTATAGGTACGTTAACTTTTTCTTGCTTATTTGTTCAGTATGGACTTATTGCTTATCGGTGGATCCGTTTTGACCTACCTTTTCCAGTTGCAATGACGTGCACTACTCACAGGCACATAGGAAAGTGTGTACTGTATGGTCGAATACGAACAACACAGACCAGACTCGACACACACACACACACAACTGCTGGCAAACTAGCGAACGAAGCTAGCGCGCCATTGGTAGAAATACTTAGATCGTGCATGCAGATGAAAAGATAAGAAGTGAGGCCAACAGATAAGCATGAGGTGGAGGCTAACAGAGAAGCAGCAGAGGTGAGAAGCTGAGGGAACCAAAGTGAAAGTGAGCACATCCACCTAGACCCAGGAACAGCATGCGGCCGCATGCGTCAAGGCGTAGGGCTTTGAAGCTGAGCTACGGCATTGGATGAGTACTTGAAGTTGTCGATGGTCTCGGAACAGAGCTTTCTGTCCCCGTTTGAAAGGTTCGACCTCGACAAGATCTGGCTCGCCTGGTCCGCATGCACCGCAAGAACCTCGGCTGCGTCTTGCAGATGCTTGGGTGCTCTGATTCATGGATGTCAGTTCTCTTACTGAAGAGAAACGGGATAGGCTCCAATGATGTCCAGGGCACCACCTTGTCGAAGACTGGGCTTGAGGCAGACACGTAGTGGCCGTTGGAGGCTACAACACGGATGCCTTGGCCCTCCGAGAGCTCCAACTTGGAGACGTCTGTGCTAGAGCAGATTCGCCCGCCCGCTGCAGACAAAGCTGAATGGAGCTTCCGGACGTAGTCCTCAGCTCGATACTTCGGAGTCCGCCACTTCGGCCGGGCTCTCTGAAGCATGAAGTGGTTGTCCTGAGCTTTGACCAAAAAGTCAAGAGAGAGTGGTTCTGCCGAATACTCGTTTCTGCCACAGCAACAAACCCTGGGATGGCCTGAACTACCTCCAAGCAACCCTAAATAAACTCTTAACCTTAACCCTCCTCCAAGTGTCCAGGAAGCCTAAGACGATGCAGGCAGGAAAAGCTGTGCACTCCTCGGCCGACGCTGCCATGGGCAAACACTCTGAGTTTGCACATGCTAAGCCAAATAAACTGAAAGCCAATCCGCAAGTCCTGTAGAGAGGACTTCAGAAGGGCTCTTGATGCAATGATTCTCTAATGCTATATTATACTTCCTCATATCATCTGCCGTCACATTGCCTCGTACTATATTGTGCAATGTCATTATATATATATATATATACTATGTTCGGCTCATTCTCTCCTATGCCATGCTATGTCAAAATATATCATAATGTAAAATAAAAATATCTCGTCACATAGCATTGATTCCATGATATTGTATTACATATTATGTGTGTAAATAAATATATATATATATATTATAAATAGGTATATGCGTATATAGGTATATATATATAAACAAACAAACAAACATACAAACAAACAAACACACAAACAAACAAACAAACAAACAAACAAACAAACAAACACACAAACACACAAACACACAAACAAACAAACAAACAAACAAACAAACACACAAAACACACAGAAATATATATATATATATTTACGTCAAATACTGTATTACTTGTTATGTTCATTGGTACATAAAAACTAAATTGCAACCGTCCAGGTCAGTTTGTTGTTGCGAGAGCAATGCTAAAAGTCGAAGCGATGCATACAAACTATCATCAACACCAATCGGCATATCGTCAAAGAAGATATGTCTGCCCCCGCTCTGCTGCAAGCTTTGGCATACGTCATGAACTTGCATAATATATGAGATGCGGTATTGTATTGCTATGTTAGATGATGTCATATTTTGTTATGTTGAGATAAATTTGCGATTTATTACATTACCGTAATTATATTAGATTGCAAAACAGTACTCTGTTATGTTAGTTAGGTTGGTTTATTGGAAACTATAGTGGGTATAACGTTATGAATACTGTGATATATACATCAAATCATAATAATATCATTTCATACACTGTTATGTTATATTATAATGCAGTATTGCATTATGCTGCCTTGTACTCTAATATACTGTATTACCTTATATTCTGTTCCGTTCTCTAAGTCCTGCCCCAGGCACATCCATGGAGCAGCTCCAGAGAGCTGCGCCCATTGGAGCGATGTACTCATCGATAAGCTGCTGGCCTCACCGGAGCGACACCATAACTTATGTGTGTGTTTTTGTATATGTATGTGCACATATGTGTATAAGTATATATGCGTATGTATGTATGTATGTATGTATGTATGTATGTGTGTATGTATGTATGTATGTATGTATGTACGAATGAATTTATGTATGTATGTATGTACGTATGTCAGTATGTATGTATGTATGTATGTATGTATGCATGCATGTAGGTACGCATGTATGTATGCAACTATGTATGCATTTGAGTGTGTATGTGTGTGTATACACACAAATATATCAATATGTTCTGTTATGTTATATTCTTGGACACAGGCAAAACTCTCAGTTGTGAGGATGATGGTCGAGATACTGACACAACTGTCCTGCCAAGTTTTCTTCAACAGTCGGCCGAGTGCTGCGACCTTTGGGCTGAACGTGGCAATGAGTCCTATGTGTACACCATGATGAAGCATGAATGGTATGAAGACCAGAAAAATAACGACGACATCAAAAGCCAGCATAGTGATGTCGCGGCAGTTGCTGCTGCAGTCGAAGCAGCAGCAGCACCACCAGCAGCAGCAGCAGCAGCACAAACACTTGGCAGTCGTAGCTTGGCTGAATGCACTACAGCCTGGCGATGGCGCTAGTGCAGCAGAAGCTTGCTTTACGGATGCAGAAAGATGGTGATAATAGCAAGGAGAAGCTCTCCAGTTGTCTCCTGTTTGCATCCAAGGCGCTGAAACCCTGGCCTAGCAACCAGGACTTCATCGTCTGATCGCCCAGAGTCTCAGGATGCACCTAATGCAACATGCTAAATACGAGCACACGGCTGTACCTACGTATAATCTGTTGTAAACTGCATGGTCGGATGTGATCCGTGAACTGAACTGTCCTGAGAAAATGTCGTCATGCTACAAACTGAGAACCACAAGAACGCAAGCTAAGCATCGGAATAGGAGTAGCTTTGCAGCAGAAGTGCTACTACTGGTAATGGTAGTCGTGGTGGCAGAAGTAGTAGTAGTAGTAGTAGAAGTAGTAGTAGTAGTAGTAGTAGGAGTAGTATTTGTATTTGTAGTGATAGTGAAGTGATAGTAGTTCGAACAGTACTCGCACTAGTACTTAAAGAAAATTCTTCGAAATGCTGCCACTGCTAGTCGAAGAAGAGAAAAACCAGGGCGCATGGAGGGCTGCATGAGCTGCCCGCTCAAAGCGAAGGATCTCGAACCTGCATATAAATACAGTATATGTAGATACAGGCGTGTAAGTACATATGACATGTTAAAGAGCTATAAACCAACAATATCAATACAAATACACATATATATATATACACATACTGCATGTATATGTATGTATATGCATGCATATATATATATATATATATTCTTACTTACATATGCATGCATACTCTGACATGGAACAACTCGGCCACGCCAGACCGGCTATAGATTGTTTCGTGACTCTCCAAAGCAGAGGCAACATCAGGAACAATGGTTTCCTCATGACTGTGCTTGCAAACGAGCCTGTGACTGCGAGTCAAATAACAGATTGGGAATGGGCTGCAGTGATCCCCTCCTTCTGCGGGTTTCGGCTGCTTCTGTTCCAGTTCTAATCCAGTAGCTGCTACTAGTGCAGACTCATTTCAAGGGCGGCAGCTGTCGTGCCACCGGGTTGCAGTCGCTTCCAGCCACGCACGCTGAAGACATCCGACCATGTCGGGAACAGGGACTTGGAGGACCACTCGAAGTCTTGGACATCCTGGTCGGGGCGCAGACACGCGGCTTGGGGCATTGCTAAATGCAGACGTGTTGAACCTTCTGCAGCATCCCCAAACTTCATTCTCTGTACTGAGTAGCCAAGTGGCGGTAACCCCACGAGCAGACACGGACAAGGACATGTCGGACTGGATGGTTTCGACTCCTAGCTCGTCGAAGAGTTTCGACAGCAAGGGGTAGTTGCTGAAGTTGAAGACCTGCGCACCGGAATTCTCAGCACTTCGGATGGACCTCTTGGCTTCCGTGTCCGAATCATGTAATAGCAGTCTCTCACCTATCCCGAACTGCATCGAATAAGGAGACCAGAAGGCTGCCGCTGCTCAACCACGAATACGGTTGAACAGATTGCTCGTTGCAAGGAACTTCCAAATGACTGTAGCCGGCGCTCTTAAGAAATCTGCGTCGAATTGCGACGCTGTGCCTTGCTATGTCTGACCTCAGCATTGACTTTACGCTGACCCGGTTCCGTTGAACCTCTTCGTCTCTTCGATTGCTGCTGCATGCCACCCTCTCCCGCTGGATACCCCCTTCTGGAAATGAAGAGCCTTCAGTTTCTGCCGTTGTCTAACCCTTGCTGCGTTCTCTTGCAGGGAAGGCTTCCTGATGGACTGCAGATGGAATGGTGCCGTTTGCAAAAGCAAAAGTCGACGGGCTGCCCCATGCACAACTCAGGAGATGCACCAACAACATGCAGATAGGGCCAGATAGGGAGGAGAGATAGAGAGGGCGAGAGAGATGCAATAGAGAGAGAGAGAGGGAGCTAGATCAATGGATGCGCAAATAGACAGGGGGAAAAGGAGGAACAATTGAATCAACATGTAGACACCCTACGACCAGGGCAAGGAGAAAGAGCAAACGAGAGAGAGAGAGTGAGAGAGATAGAGAGAGAGAGAGAGAGATAGAATGATAATAAAGAGCCCTAAGGAAGTAAGGAAGAGTACTGCTAGCTATTCCTGTAATATCCTTTTTTGATCCAAGCCAGAGATGGTTTCCAACATGCTGCAGCTGGGGATAGTTTCTGAGGCGCCTGCTGTCCAGCTAGGCTAGCACTCACGGCACGAGCCTAAATAAAGTCCCTTGTGGGTGTAGAGAACTGGATTTAGGGTTTGGGGTTCAAAAAGTAAAAGTCTCGTAACCCTGAATCCTCCACCCCAAACTTAATGAACCATAAGCCGTAAACCATAAACTTTCTAAGCTCGAAGCCCTAGGCCCTGAACTTGATAAATCCTGAGCCCTAAGCCCTAAACCCTAAACCTAATAAGCCTAAGCCCTAAACGTAATAAACCCGCATATACAGTTCCTTGAAAAGGTAGGTCTTTCGGGCCACAGGGAAACCCTAAACTTAATAAACCCTAAACCCGAAACCCTAAACCGGATTTGGGCTTCTCTTCCTGGCCTGGAACCCGATGTCGACCCTCTGCTTTTCGGACCCCGCAGCGATAGTGTGGGCATGTCCTGTGTGTTATGTTTTTCGCCGGGGCGGGTGTTTCGGGTGTCATTTCTAAACTCGTTAGGGTTTAGGGGTTCAGGGTTTAAGGTAGATAGGGTTTAGGGTGTGTAGTGCTTCGGGTGTGTCAAGTTGGGGTTTTAGGCCTACAGGCTATTACTACGCGGCAAATTCCGATTGGGGGGCCTTCGGGTTTGGGGGTTTGAATCACCCGGAGGTTTTCGGTGATCTCTTCCATCAGCCCGCGGAGCAGTCTTCGCCCACGGGCAGGTAGGTTCGAACGCAAAATCGAAACTAAAACGATGAGGTGGCCTACACTTGAGCGCACAACAGAGGCAGAGCATGCAACCGCACCGTGGTCAAAATGTAAAACGCCTTCGGTCAGGTGCAATATATGAGAGTTTCGGTCAGATACAACATATGAGAGTACATATTCAGGCCGTTGTCGCTTCGTTGTTCTTGTAGCAAGAGGTCCTCGGTTCCGGGTGCTCGGGTACCCGGGTGCCGGGTCGTTTCAGTTCTGTTCCCGTTCCCGTTTCCGGGCCGGGAGCCGGACCTTCCAAATTGGGATGTTCGGGCGTTCCGGATCCGGGTCCGGGTGTTCCGGCTGGGCCGGGTTTCCGGATGCCTATAAGGACGAGAAAAAAACGATATTTTGCCAATGTCTGGTCTGCTCCGTGAGTCTACATTGGCCACACGACGAGCTCCTACAATGACTACTACTACTGCTGCTGCTGCTACTGCTGCTGCTGCTGCTACTGCTGCTACTACTACTACTACTACTGCTACTGCTGCTGCTGCTGCTTCTGCTGCTGCTGCTACCACTGCCACTGCTGCTGCTGCTGCTACTGCTACTGCTACTACGACGACGACTACTACTACATAATACTTCTACTCTGCTACTACTCCGAGTGCACGGCTTCTCCTGCGACCCGGGCGAGCTCGGACTCTGCAGGAAAGCTTCTGATCTTCTGAAGTTACACCGAATCAAGAACCACCTTCAGCTCCACACTGAACCCTAAACCCTAAAGCTAGAAGCGCCAGGTTCCCCCGAGTACCATCTACAGGGCTGATCGACTTGAGGGCCTCCGGAGTTGTGACAAAAGCCCAAGGCTCTTTGGGGGGTTTTGGGTTTAGGGACGAAGATTCCCGGATGATCATTGAGCTAAAACTCTGCATGATGGACTTCTACAGGCCCGCCCTAGTCTTCATGTTCTAATCCTCACTGAGAGGACAGGGGGATAAAGAGTTTATCTCTCCGTCGTCTGCATTGAATAGAAACCCGATGCCCTTCTGCCCGCCTCCGGGCCGATCGTCCTGGACGGGGGTTGGGAAGTGGGACATGCAGCGGTTCTGAAAATCAAGGATTTCTCGATCGCCGCTTTGATCTGTGGTTATCTATGATCAGGTTGCTATGCGGTTTCTGGTCGCCATTTGGAGTCCACCTGTTTCTGAAACTCCCACATGGACCTTCAAATGGTATAACAGTCCCATTCCTGCACAGGGTCCAACTTCACAGGCATAAACTAAGATGTGGTACTTCGCCATCATGCACTCAGAAATCACAGGCTCGCAACCAAAAATTAAACATCTCTTCAAGGCTCAAGGCCCTAAAATCGCAATTAGAAATAATAAACATTGAGTACCCTTCTAGCAGGCATCCTTACCTGCGCACCTGCCCTGGCCATTGGCTTGTGTCGCTACCGCCCTAGTTACCCCGGCCTCGCGCCGATTCAACACTCCAGAGTCTCTAGAGGTGGCTCCACGCTGGCTTTCACTGGACGTTCTGATAAACAGCAACGGGTCCTTCTCGCACAGCACCACGTCGTACTCGTGTCGCAGCATGTATGCCGCAGCGTTCCCTGCGATGCCTGGTCCAGTTAGGCAATGTGGATCTAGGGCTCACTCACCAGTACTTACTTGTGCCGGAAGGAGTAGTAGTCGTCGTCGTCGTAGTAGCAGTGGTAGCAATAAGATACCAACAACACAAATTCTGAACTAGTAACGGCCTGATCCGACCACGCAAACCCGCGGCTTTCCCTCAGCGGCCACTCCAGCAACCGAGTGTAAGGTTCCACCGGCCTCAGAATTCAAGGAGGAAACGAGTGGTTTAGGGCTCACGGTGAAATTGTTGAGTATGGAAATGTGGTGGAAGGGAAAAGACGAAGTTTAGGGGCTTGCGGCTGGAGGCATTGAAGTTTGGTCGGGACTTGGGCTGCAGAGCTGTGTGCCCTCACCGAAGGCCGTTAGATGCACTGTACACCGTACACCCCTGTTCCATGGCAGCGGGATTCTTGTCCAAATGTTTTAGCTGAGCAAACCGTGCAGTGCCTGTGAAGGACTAAAGCTTACATCCCGGACAGCTGCAAAGATATTGACATGAAGGCCTCCATTTCTGTCAGCTATAGTTGTGGTACAGTCCCAAGTCCAGTGGAAAGCTGCAAGTTAAAAACAACTTACTCACAAGTGCCGCAAGGGAGCTGCGGGCGTGGGGCCCTCCTCGTCGTGGCCGTTCGGCGTGGCATGGGCTCCATTCGGCGGACCCGGCGACGGCTTGGCAGTGCCTGCCTGGCCTTGAACGGTGACGGCCGTGTTCTCCGTTTGGAGTGCAGCCTGCGAGGTGGGCACTGGAGAGGCCACTGGGTGCTCGGCAGCGCCTGTGGACAGGTGCTGAAGATGAGACACCACCCCCATGGTGTAGCTGTCGAATGTATGCATCTGAACACCATGCTTCTGGCAAACCTTCTGCATGACAGCTCGAAGCTGGGGTAGATGGCTGTGGTCCACCGTCGGGAAGCAGTGGTGCACAGACTGCAGGTTAAGGCCACCTGACATAAACCAGTGGATAGGAGAATTCACCGCGAAGTCCACGCTGTGCGTAAGCTGGTGCTTGTACCAGCACTCTGAAGCGGCCTCATCTGCCTCACCCTCTGTGGTGTGGTTCAAGTGGGCCAGCTGTGTGTTCAGCATGAAGAGCAAGGAGAACACCGCAGCCGGGTAAGCGGCCCAGAGGACTCCCCAGAATCCGAAGCGCCAGACTGGCCAAACGTAGAAGACCAAGCGCTGGAGCAGCAAAGCCAGCAGCGACGTGGCCGTGATATCCCGTGGAACATCCTGTTTCAGAGACAGTCCGAAGGCAGCACTGAGGTAGCGGTAGGAGTAGAGGACTTGCAGTCCGATGGGCACAGCGATGGCCCAAACGACCGGCACCACAGCGAGTGGGGGAGGGAACTTGCCCGGCCTGACCCAACGGCGCACATGCTTGGCGTCGGGATCCGCATCTGCGATGTTGGTCCAGACGTGGTGGCACGCAACGTGTTGCCAGTACCACTCGTGGGGTGCGCCGATCGGGAAGCCTGAAAAAGTGAGGAGCTCATTCACCCAGGCTTTCGTGGAGAGGGCCCCGTGGGATGCATCATGGAAGGTGTGGAAGGTGGCTAAAGCGCCAACCCATGGGAGGAGCAGGAGCCCCGAGTAAGACCCCTGGATCCACCCGTAGAAGCAGAAGGCATAGACGGACCACAGCAATGCAATGAGGCCCCATTTCCACAGAGGAGCCTTCAAAGCCTGCCGAAGGCTCACGCCTCGCTCCTTGGCTCATAATATATTTTTGTATATATATATGTATATATACACATACATACATGCATGCATGCATACATACATACATGCATGCATGCATACATACATATGTATTTATCTATGTTTGATCTATTCGCTTATCTATTTAATTAATCATGTAAACCTATAGTTCTAGTACACTATACTTCTAAATTATATATCGCCTGCAAGCCCAATCGTCAAACCGAATGGCCACACCAGTACAACCTTTTGCGCGGTGCAGAAACTACACAGAAACTGCTGACTGACGGACCAGCAATGATAACAACCGTAAGAACGAGGCGAGAACAGCAGCAGCAACAGCAGCTAAGAGACACAACTGCAGACTCGAAACAACAACCAACAACTCCTCCGCCTCCTCCTCCTCGTCCTGCTACTACCACGACCACCACCACCACCACGACCACTGCCTACCACTACTCCTCCTCCTGCTGCTGCTCGTAAAACTCAGACGAAAGTTACTACTACTGTCATCCTAGCCGCCAGAGGCAACATGGCATGAATCAAGGACGATGTAAGACGTGATGCCTGACGAAGTTCAATTGTGTCAACTCTGCCACCTGTATGTGTTGTTTATGATTTCATCTCTCGCTCTCGCTCTGTCGCTCTCTCTCTCTCTGTCTCTCTCTCTCCTCCCTCTGTCTGTCTCTCTCTCTCTCTCTCTCTTTCGGCCTTTATCTCTCTCTCTCTCTCTCTCTGTCTTTCCCAGGGCTTACTCTCTCTCTGTCTCTCGCTCTCTCTGCAATGCAAACATACCGCAACCATGTACTCAAACGAAACTGGCCCTACAAGGCAGCCCTTTGGTCTGACTCTTACTTCTGTTTTGTTGACATGAAACCCGTGTTCGTAGTGCTACTGCAATTCCTAACCACTACGTCTGTTCTTTAATTTCTGGCTGTTCTGATCATTAAACCCCATATTGTTCCTCTGTATATTGGGTGGTTGTGTTCAGTCTTTCTCTGTTGCCATTGGTGTTGCTAGTACCACTATACGATACTGTATCATCATAAGCTGCACACTGCGCAAAACCAGTCAAGCCCAGCTTCTTTTGCAAGCTCCTCAAAGTAATGGCGCGCTGCCGTGGAGAGTTCGGCTGCAAAGCTTGAGTCCGTGGAGCTGAAATTACCTTTGCAACTTTCGGATTTTGGGTTTAGGTTTAGGGTTTTATGGTGACGTTCTTGATGGGTTCGGTTTGTGGGCCGGCAAGCTGCCAAGCAACCAAACCACCAGCTCATTTTTTAATTACACAGGGGTGCTCACGCAGGAAATCCCAGTTTCCTGGAAGTCCCTTATTCGACGAACGGTGCTACGATCGAAGTAGCTTGAAGGTTGGGTTCAAGGAGGATACCGTTCGAGCGAAGCCGCGGATCTTGCACAGGCACTGCATTCTATAACAGATTGACGACAATCACTCACACAAACCGGTTTCCAAATGCACTGTGCCTGCTCACTGACGGGCCTAGTCAGTTAATCTAGGGTTTGGCAGGCCAGTCTCCTCGCCCGGGAGCCATCAAAGAAGTCTGCTTTATCTTATCTTATCATGTGGGAAGAACACTGGCATTGATTCTGGGAAACTGACAGGCTACGGCCTTCTTTGCAAGCACAGCCACACCCTTGACCAGAAGCCCCAACAAGGCCAAAAAGAACAGCCCGAAGCTTTCTAACCCTAAATTGCCCCAAATCTTATGCCCCCAATCCTAAATCCCTAGTACTCCAATCCCCTAAAATTAAAACCCCTTTGAGCCACAACAAGAAGCAGTTGTGCCAGACCCCCAAACAGTTGTAGAGCACCACGACCAAGACCACAACGACAGCTACCACGACCACTACGACCACGACACTGGCCTGCACTGCATGTTAGACGAATAGAACCCCATAGTGCCTGCCAGACTGCTTTGGGAACATCCTGGGTCAAACACTGAGCCCGAACCCATCCCAAGTCGAACCACTAGTACAAAAAGATACACCGAAATGATACACCCGAACACTAAATGAAAGCCTAGAGCCCTATATATCGCCCCTCACCTCTAACACTCTCAAGCATAAAAGCGGGCCTCAAATGCCAACGCCCTGTTTGAATCCTCCAAAAACCCTAGACCCCTTTAAAGTAGGGGGCCAAAAAAAAATGCTGCCAGGTCGCCCTCGGCGCCCGAGGCCGCCAGGGCAGCCGAGGCCTCGGGGAACTCGGCCAGGGTGCCAACCTCGGCCGGCTTTGGATGCTTTGGTTTTAGGGTATTTAGGGGTTTCGGGTTTGGGGGTTTGGGATTTAGGGGTTTAGGGTTTAGGGCTTGGGGTTTAGGGTTTGGTTTTTAGGGTTTGAGTTTGGGGTTTGGGGTTTAGAGTTTTGGGCTCCCTTAAGTAAACAAGGATAAGCAAAAAACGATAACAAGGTTTGGGTGGTTTGGGCGCCTTCATAGAAAAGAGGGCCTGGGGTAGAAGTCTCGAAGTCGGAGCTTGAGGTTTTGGATGGGCTTGACTGGTTGCGGGTAAAATTTAAAAGTCCGTACAGAGCCTAGATTGCCCTAAACCCTGAACCCTAGACGCTAAACCCTGAACCCTAAACTCTAGACTCCATACCGGAAATCACGGGAACACGGACGAGCATCCACGCAGAACCGAAGCCAATGCCGTGTGCGGTGTGTAAATCGCCAGCGGATCCAGTACCGTCCATGCTAGTTAGCTACAGATAGACGATGGAATACAAAGAACGGTGTAGGATTGAGTGTAGGGCGTACAAGGAAATAACAAAAACGATACAACAAATACATATATAGACACACATATACATATTATATATATATATGATATTTACATACTTATAATATATATATATACATATATTATTACTACTATTTACTATTATCATTATTATTTTTATATTATATGGGCATTCAGAAGGGCAACTGTGCATCTCTTCAGCCAGTACGCCAGCATCTCCTGAGCAGCAGGCAGTCCAACAGCTGCTGGGGCCTGAATACTTAGAATAGGGGCCTTGGGGTATATTAAACTATAACTATAATAAGGGAACCCCCCCAAAAAAAAAAACAAAAAAAAGTATTGGTAATTATTTCGGCCCCTGTGTTGGCGAGAGGGCTTGACACTTACTTGCAGTCTCCATTGTAGTTCCTCTTCTGGGCTTAACTTGTTGTATAACGAGGATGCTATAAGGTATTGGAGACTAAAGGTAGGGTTCGTTCACACCCTCAAGCTCAAACCACGTCGCTGGATGCGCTCTGTGACAGCGCATTAGTCAATTATCTTGATCAGCCAGTCCAAAGACCGTTAATATGAGGAACATAACAATTAGGAAGAGCTCTTGGATCAGATTTCAGTATCACTATCGTATAGGGACCTATATTCGCAACTCGCAATCATTCGGCGCCATTTTTCGGGGCCTCTGCTATCAAGTGGCACATCGAGCTCAAGAGACACGGATTCTGAAACTTCAACTGGTTACGTCTTGAGAGGTTCAAACCCTGGTGCGACGTCTCTTCCAGAGTCTGAAACATCTTCAACTGAACCCGAAACCCAAAGATTGATATCGAAACCTGTCTCCCTCGGCTCCTTGCGCGCCAAAGCATGCGTCGACCTGAAGAAATGGCAATAAGAACATGATGATGATGATGCTGACGATGGTGATGATGNNTGATGATGCTGCTGATGATGATGAGGCCGACAATGACAGCGGCAGCATTGCGATTACCGTTGCTGGGGTTAAGGTGTATCGGTTTGGAGGAGACTGAGCTACTGTTGACAAGGAGAAGGCCCTGCGCAGTTGTCGTGCCGCGTCCTTAAACAACCAGCCCCAAAAAGATCTCGGATCGCGCAGTTCGCATTGGGAGCCTGCCTGAAGAGCATAGTTGCATCACGGCCCTCAGCCAGTTTCAGCGCGGCCTCCCGAATGACAAACGTGCACATGGACAAATGCAGAGCTAGAATACGGGACACAAGTCCATGTGACAAGCACAAGGAGCCTGACCACCAGGATGTTCCTCGCCAGCACCGCTGGCAAGTAGGTCCAAATCGATGACCTGCCGCAGGCTCCCCGCCTCTTGGGCTTCTAAGGTAAGGCTAACATGGCCTGGACTTCAGGATAAGGTTTACGATGCTGTGTTTCACCATGCGACAGACAGAGCTGTCCGAAGAAGCGGTCT